TTGTACCTCATAACTGATCTGGATATGTTCTTTTTGACAATGAGTGCAACACCATTCCTCTTCAATTTGTCATTTCCGGCATAGTAAACCATGTGGTTGTCAGATTCAGAATGGCCAATACCAGTCCATTTTAGCTCACTAATGCCTAAGGTAGCAATGTTTATGCATTCCATTTCATTTTTGACAACTTCCAGTTTTCCCCGCATTCCATTTCATTTTTGACAACTTCCAATTTTCCCAGATGCATACTTTGTACATTCCATGTTCCGATTTTCAATTGATGTTTACAGCTGTTTCTCCTCTTCATTTTGAGTTGTGCCTCATCAGCAAATGAAGATCCTGTGGGCTTTTCTCCCATGGGCTTTACTCCATTCGAGTCATCACGGTCAACTCTACTTTGAGGAGACAGCTCTTCCCCAGTTGCATTTTGAGTACCTTCCAACCTGAGGGCCTCATTTTCGGGCACTATATCTGACAGTGTTTCTCTGCTATTCATAAGGTTTTCAGTGACTAAATATTCGGAAGTAGTTCATCACTCCTTCTTCCTAGTTTGTCTTCATCTGGAAGCTCATCTGAAACCTGTCCACCCTGGGTGATTGTGCTGGTACTTAAAATACCAGTGGCATAGCTTCCAGAATTACAGCAACTCACAAGCCACCACAGTATGACAAACTGACAGATGAGTGGTGGAGCCTTCTATAGGACTGTTATAAAATAGTAAATCTGTGTGGGCTGATATCCTATGATTGTAAAACATTAGGAGATTCTATACTGAAAACATAAGGCAGGGGCTCTTCAAGGAACCCTTTGTGCCATCTGATTATGTCCCCACTCATTTCTTAAATGTAATAGATAATTTTCATAACTTGAATACTTGATTGTATTTCAGAAAATTGGTACGATTATTTTTTACTAAATTATTTCAAAATTTTTAAGTTGAAGCTTTTTTTTAAAAAAATATTTTTCCATTCCATGAGTACCAGTGACTTATAATTTTGCTTAGTTACAGGTTGGTTATTAGTTAGCCTTTATGCTGTTATCATCACACAAAACAATGGTGAGACACCTCTTACCTCTGATGAGGAGCCCATACCAGCTGCTCTTCAGTGTTGCTGAGTGGGAACCGACTTGATGACACTTAACAACCACCACCTCTGATGAGGGGTGCATAAAATTAACTGAGATAATGTATGCAAAGCACTTAAAACACAAGTACTTAGTACATGCCATGGTGGTGGTGTTAAGTGCTGCCAAGTTGGATCCAACTCACAGGGACCCTGTATAGGGTTTCCAAGGCTTTTTAAATCTTTGAGGGAGCAGAAAGCCTCATCTTTTCCCACGAGCAGCTGGTAGGTGGGCTCGAACTGCAGATGCTGTGATTTGCAGTCCAGTGCTTTTCATATGGGGCCACTATGCTCCCTGTAATATGCAATGTTGTTGTTTGTTGTTAAGTAGTTGAGTTGGTTCCGACGCATAGCAACCCTGTATAGGGTTTCCAAGGAGTGGCTGGTAAGTTTGAAATGTCGACTTTATTAGAAGAATGTCCTTCTATAAAGAGTATTCCTTTCTGGTCCTTTCTGTGTACTTAAGTTGAAAATAGAGGGAGAGGGCTTTAAGTAGATGGGAAGGGATAGACATATAAAGAGGAAGGCATAAAAGCACTCCTCATGCATAGTTAGGTTTAAAGAGCAAGTCATTATGTGAAAATGGACGATAACCACGTAAGATCACAAAACAGAGGTAATGACTACATCATTACATGGCTGTCAAACTACATCATTACTGAATTTTTATGCAGATTAACATCAGTTTTTGTTAGTTTTTTTTCAAATTCTGCAACATCCCCACCCCCACCCCCCATTCATTCGTTTTCTTTGTGCGCTATTTGTGTGGGTATGGTGTATGTGAAAATAAAACTGTCAGACCATTGAAAACCATGGTTTAGCCAAGCTGACAGATAGAACCTTACCATCACAGCCAGCATTCATTACTGCCAGACATACATCATTAATGTGCAAAACAGACTTTTTACTATTGTTGTGTGAAATATTGAATGAGATAGTTGATAAGTGGGAGAAGTAGGTGTTCTTTAACTTTAGTCTGCTATAAGAAATAGCATTGAACACTTACCAAGCATCTGCCATGCACATATGAATAGCATCCAATACCTACCTTCAAGGATCAACATGTCTCAGCTTATTTCTGTACAAGATATAGGAAAATTAGAGCGAGATTAGAAGTCTGACAATGGCTGTGGAGTATAAGATTCTGAGACCTCATTCTTGGTTGTATAATGGCAGTCCTACCATGCACAGTTATAACTCACATGGGGGAAAGGTGAATCTCTTGACAGTGGAAGACACATGAATTCCTTAAGTAAAATATGGAGGGGCTTTCAGAAAGTTCATGTGAAAATGGAATTAGAAGATCCTAGTTGGTTACAAGTTGGGCTGCAAGGTCAGCAGTTCAAACCTACCAGGCTCTTCATGGGAGACAGATGAGACTTTCTGCTCCTGTCAAGATTGACAGCCTAGAAACCCTATACATGGTTGTTAGGAGTAGAAACTGACTTAACAGTCCATACACCCCCCAGCATAAACGTTGTGAAGCCCCCTTGAAGTATACAGTCACTATTTCATTTCACAGTGGCAGTGTTCTACTATGAACTATAAACGTGTAACAACTGGATCCATAAACTTAAAGCTTTGATGTCTTAAAAGTGAATTAATTCTTTCTGGTGTATTCTGCTCTTCTTTCTGTTGTTAAATCAATTTTTTTTCCTTGTTAGTTGTCTCAAGATGGACTAATCTCTGTTAAAGCCTTTATTCCACCACCGGATTAAGATCCTTTTAAGGCAGAAAAAGTGTCCTGTTCACTGCTATTGTTGCTAGCATCTGGCTAGAAACTTTGCTCTGTAAACAGATTGATATTTCATTGCATTACCTAACTTGTATTCTTTGCTTCCTGTAGCTCTGATAGCTGAAGAGCATCTTACAGTGGATGCCAGAGTCTACTCCTATGCTCTGGCATTGAAACATGCAAACACTAAGCCATTTGAAGTCCCCTTCCTGAAATTTTAAGACCAAAAAGGACACCAACCGTGTTTTCATAAACAAGACCACCAGGCCTTCTTCACTCAAGACTTTGTATTCAGCGTAATTTAATGCAGATTTGAAATTGGCTCTTGGAAAAAATAAAAGCAGCACAGAATGCATATGGTAGTTTGGAACTGTAATCACACAGAGGCTGTCACCTTCGTCGTAATTTGCTAAAGTCCACCTAATGTTAATGAAAAAGAACATAAAGTAGATCTATTTCCTCTAAATTTAAAAACAAAAACCCCTAAGTGTTAATTCTACTAATATAAGGAGACCAAGATGCAAAGATATTTCTATAGGAAAAAGGTCACATTCACTCCCCACCCTAGTATAAAATTCTATAACCGTGTATGAAGATCACTTTTTACTGCATTGATGTTTAAGTCCAATTTATTTTTAATTTGAACAATTTGCTATGTACATTTCCACTGGGTAGCAGAATATATAAAAGCAATAAATAAGAATATTCTTGATAATTACTTTTAGTAGTCTTATAACTAACTACCTGATTACTGAGGTTGAGACAGATCTTAATGTTATGAAAAAGGTCAATTCAATTCACTTTATAAAGGACATGTAAGGAATATAGGCATCAAGCCTGTGCCCATATGTTAATTGGATTTCCTATCCCTATCTTGAACAGTACTTGATATTTCCAAAAATTTGTTCCATTAAAAAATAAGATATGTGTGTGGCTCTGGCCCTTGTTGTCTAGGAGTTAATCCATGAGTGTAGCTAAGCAAGGTTTACAAGTACCAGAAATCCAATACAAGTGGTCTTAAAGGAAATGTCCGTCAAAGGTTCTACCACTTACTGACCATTGATGTGCTCTCATGTCTAGGTTTTCTTACGTCTTGTGTTGACTCAGGGCCTCCAGTAGCACCCAGTGTGTTGTTGCCTTTTCCATATAATGCCCATCTGACAACTTCAACAGTGGCTTTCCCTGGCCAGCTCCGTCATGTTTCTAGCCCGGAATCCAGGACTTAAGTCATACCCTTCAGTATAATATAAAAATTGTTCTCTAGGTAAAATCAGGGTACAGATGTAAAATCTGCCATATACTTTCATTTGTTTACAGGTTCACTGACTTGATTAGACGTATTTTTTAATGAAAAATAAAAGGTTATACTGGACTTCTAAAGGATGGAAAAATGATTAATTGATCCATGGATCAATTAAATCCACTCTCCCTTATAAATATGAAAACTAAGCCCAAACACATTCTGTAGTAGTAACCTGCCCATATACTTAACCCATTTAAAAATTCTGTGTCATGAGTCTCCTTATGCATTTTCCTTTAGCTCTCAAGTACCAAAGGAGCTCTGGTGGTGCTAGAGCGTAAGTAATCAGCGGGTAACCATATGGTTGGCAGTTCAAACCTACCAGCTGCTCCACAACTCCAAGAGGCATCTTTCCGCTTCCGTAGTGGAAACCCTATACAGTGTCACTATGAGTAAGAATCACAGTGGACTCAAGTACTTGTTAAGTGCTCTTGAGTTGGTTCCAACTCACAGTGACCCTGTGTAGGTTTCTGAGGAACAGCTGGTGGGTTTGAACAGCTGACCTTGTGGTTTGTAGTCCAGTGCTGATCATATAGCACCACACCAGGAGTCCAAGTCATAATTTCCTTTTCATTCTCTTCCCTTTCATTAAACTACTTCAAATTCAAGAGGTAGACACATCGATTAAAAAACCAGCTTCCAGTGCCATTCTCCATGGAAACCAAAAACCTTAAATGCTGATGAAGTGACACTTGATTCTAGTTATTTGGTCTTTTTCCTATGTTGGAGACACATGATAAATCTGTCTCTTCTACTATCTGCCCGGATACAGAATGACCTTTGTTCTTTTTATAACCTTAACCTGTCTATCCTGACATTCTCTTTTCCCAAGAGTGTAATTTAGAAGTGACAGCTAAATCATAGAACACAATCCCTAATGCCATTCATGTTATGTGTGAACATCAAAGGACTGTGCTTTGGAAATTTAAGTCAAACTTTGAGAACTGGATTAGTTTCACTGGCACTGTTCTTCGATTTGTCTAAAAGTTTATCAGGCAGTAAATGGTTTTTGTTTTTTTATTTCAAAGCACATAATTTGAAAACTGAATTATTTGCAAAGAAGTATGTCACTTCAAAAGACGACATGACTGTTGTTTTCATGAGTGCACCATTCTCCTGGTTTTCCCACTTAAGTGAGTACTGTTCCTCACTAGCCCCCACTCAGTATTTTATGAAACCATTGTATTGGAATTATATTTCACCTCTTTCAATAAGTACCTCCAGACACATTTTGTATAAATATAATGAAGCTATACAAATAATCTTAGAAAGCATTTAATACCAGATTTTCTTTATTTGTCTAACACAACTGAAACCATTTTACTAAATAAAAGTTTATTGTCTACTGTTTATACTTAAGTTGCTGCTGTAAGTACAACATACACAAATTCCTAGCATGAATTACTTATTGTTCACCCCCACGGAACTACAAATGTTGCTTGAGAATTTGATCTTTTCTTTAGGAGTTTAAAAAAAGAATTGGGGCATAATATCTTGAAAGTATTCTCAAGTGACCTGTTGGAATTAGAAGGCATAGCCAATACCGTAAAACAGCACTGCTTCTGCTGTCACCGGGAAGAACTAAACGGAAAACAGGAAGAGGAATTAGAAGCAGTGTCTTACTTCAGACATAGAATTTTGAAGCTTAATTTTGCCCATCTGGGCTAAGTGGCTGCTTTAAAAGGGGCCAAATAAAAGTGGGTGAGGGGTATGAAGGGGAGGGAATATAGATGCTATGAGTTAAGAAAGTATAAAAACTGATTATCTAAAATAGAGATTGGATATAAATGTTCCAGAACTCATTAAATAAGCTCAAAAATACTGGAAAGTGGCGATTTGAAATACATTTATTTTTTTCAACAAGTGGGAGAAATCTTGTGTACTGAATGTTGTGTGCAAAACGAATCCATGTCACCATCTCACTGTCGTGGTTTCACACAGCAAGGGAGATACATTGGTTTCCAGCATTACAGGCAACAATAGATGGACATTTTGAACAAAAAATGTAAACTTTAGTTTTAAGGCAGCTTGTACTAACGCTGCACAAAGGCTTAGCTCAGTGCCCATTTCCAAAATGGCGCAGTTAGCACTTGAAAACAAACAGGGAAGAAAAGAGGAACCAGCGTTATTTGACAAAAACAATGTCAAAATGTTTTCTCTTTCACACACACAGAAATATGTGAACATTTAGAAAAACAAAGCACCCATCCCACCAACTTCAGCCTGTTCCTTAACAAATATTTCAAAATACTGGTAAATAATAGTGACTGCGAGCAAAATACCAGTGCCAGATCCAATGGCCCCTAGGAAGTCTGCTAACACGGACAGGGCGCCAATGCACAAGCCACCAAAGGCTGCTGCTGTGGGAATGTACCTAGAAGACAAAAACCCCACGTCAGTGCTGGGAAACAAGAAGGAACCACACCAAGAATGAACAACATGCCAAGGCTTAGCCCTAAACTAATCAAAAGGGACCAAGTCTGTTAGAATGATAGGCATACAACAAATGACGTGAATGAACACTCTTGGAAATCAAAGTAAATTTCAAAACGCTTCCTAATAAAAGTATGTGGCAAATTTTCTACGACACTCTTCATTAGTAATTTAGCCTCATCTGTAGAGCAGAATCACCTGAAGAACTGTTAGAAATAATGGTGTTCTATTTAAAATACTCCAGCCCTAAAACATTAAAAAGCAGGGGAGATGAGAGAAAAGATCACGAAAAGCAAGATGATAACTAAGACTGAATATTGCTGGGTACATTAGTTCTTTTTCTAAATTAAAAGTAAAAAAAAATACTGATGCCTTTTAAGACATGGTGCTGAGATGATTTGGTATCCACATTGCCAAAGAATGAATTTGATCACTACCTCACACCAAACACAAATAATAACTCAAAGTAGATCAAACACCTAAGTATATAACTCAGACTAGAACAAGAATAAACCTTAATGACTGAGTTGTTAAGTGCCATCGAGTTGGTTCCGACCCATAGCGACCCTGTATAGGGTTTCCAAGGAGCAACCGACTGGTGAGCTTGAACCACTGACCTGTGGTTCAAACCAACTTTGCTGTCTAGAGCATTAACCTGCACCAGAAGTCCAAGACAATGGCATATTCAGCATAAGTAAGAAAAAACTAAACTGGGTTTCCTAAAAATCAAATATTTCTTCAGCAAATAACACCATCAAAATAATACAAAGTATAGAATGGGGGAAAGCATTATCAAGTCCTATATCTGAAAAGAGATTTCTATCCAAAATACATTTTAAAAAAATAACAACTCAGTTAACAAGCCAGTTTTAACATGGGCAAAGTATTTGAGTAGAGATTTCTTCAAAGAAACTATGAAAATGACAATAGGAACATGGAAAGATGCTCCATATCATTAGTCATTAGGGTAAAACAAACCAAAACCAGAATGAAGTACTACTTCACACCCACTGGGGTATGTGTGTGTGTGTGCTGTGGAGTCAGTTCCAACTCACAGTGACCCTGTACAGGGTTTCCGAGGCTGTAAATCTTTACGGGAGCAGAAAGTCTCATCTTTCTCCTGCGGAACAGCTGGTAGTTTCAAACTGCTGAACTAGAGGTTAGCAGCCCAACTCATAACTACTGGCTAAAGTAAGAATCATAAGTGTTGACGAGATATGTAGCAATCAGAACCCTCCCCATTGCTCTGGGAATGTAAACTAGTGGAGCCGCTTGGGAGAGTTCCTCAAACTGTTAATCAGACAACACCTCTAGCCTTGGAGAGCTGGAAACACCCACATGACACTTTTAGACATGTATTCATAGTATCATGACTTATAGCCAAAAAATGGAAACAAATTTCTATCAACTGATGAACAGATAAATAAAATGTGGCATTATCAATACAATGGAATATTATTTAGCCATAAGGTAAGACATTTTGATATCTTCTACAACATGGATGAAACCTGAAAATACACTAAGTAAAGTCATTCACAAAAGCTAACATTTAATTATTCCAAATTTACACAAAATCTACAAGAGGCGAATCTAAACAAAGTAGATTAGTGGTTGCCTAGGACAAGGGGGTGGAAGAGTACAGCAAGAATGGAAAATGGCTGCAAATGGATACAGCGTTTCCTTTGGGGGTGATAAAATGTTTTAAAATGAGACTAATGATTATGGAACTCTGACTATACTAAAAACCACTAAAAGGTACACTTAAATTGGGTGAGTGACATGGTATTTCATCAATTATATACACCACAAATAAAGCTATTACCAAAGAACAAAAGACTGATGTCTGGGACTTACACCAAACCGACTAAATCCAACTCCTGAAGGTGAAAAATAAGTCGTTTCTAAGCGCTCAGTGGTGATTACAGATGTAGCCAGTCAACAATGAAAACTGCATTTTAAGCTGCTGAGCAATGAAGGAAACAAAATTTCTACTAAAGTAGATGGCCAATTTTAATGTCAGTAACAAGGGTTTTAATTAAATTTTGGCTCTTTGTGTGATGCAGAATTAAATGCTTTGAATATTAATTTGAAAGAAAGACTAACAGCGATAATGACCAATTGAAAGAGCAAATACATGTGTATACCTATAGACAGACAGACAGACACACACACACACGCACACGCACACCCTCTCCTTTACAGGATTAACTTGAATGACCTTACCTATTAAGCTCATGAACCATAGAGGTATCCCTGTGACCCCTCATTACCATCTGCTGTTCTTTAAGCTGTTTAGCTACCTGCCAAGAGAAAAACAACTCTTAAAATAAAACTACCACTTCTATCAGGTTCTGTGATAAGTGCTTTTCCACGCACTACCAAATGAAATTCAAGAGCAGTAAAGTAGGCATTGTCACATCACTTCCATCTCAAATGTAAGAATACAACGCTACAAAACTACACATTAACCAAACACTAACAAGGTGCTTTTTAACCGTGTTTCATGAACTCCCTAACACAGGGAATAACACACTAAGAAATAAGGTTTTACTGCATAGGGCTGAATTTTGCAGGGTCACAAACCTCTGTAATATCTGAGAATTTTTCACCCTCTAAGAATCCTGGTGTGGCGCTGTGGGTTAATGCACCAGACTGAAAAGCCGTTTGAACTACAAGGTTGGCGGTTCAAGCTCACAAGCAGCTCCTCGGAAATCCTATGCAGGGTCACTTTGGGTCGGAATCGACTCAACGGCACTTATCAACAACAACAATAAAAATCAAGATTCTTCTCCACGGGATGGCACTGCCCCGTATAGGACATATAAATTAAAGCTTTAATTACAAAATCATTAATGAGTGTGTCAATTACTATTTTGACACCTAAAAATTATATTTCTCTCAAGCTCTAATTTATTTATTTTCAAATAAACTATATACTTACATCTTTGGCTGAGGAACCAGACACCTCTATCCATGTCTTAGAAAAGAAAGCACAGGATCCCAACATGAAGACGATGTAGACAACGACATGGACAGGATCTTCAAATATGGCGCCCATGGACTCTGGAGGAGAAAGATAGTAACAAAGGCCTCCAACTGGGTAAGAGCGAGCTGGTCCTCCTCCACTGACATCCTATAGACCAAGAATAAACAGGGCAAATCAACCTAACTGGGCAAGCAGACATTTTCATAAAATTCCGTATTTCTCAAAAATCAAGGCCCTTATTTTAAGCTCAAAGCACCTATAGCTAACGATTCCATAAAATTTACTATGGTCTCCAATACCTTCAGTCCTTCAAAATCACATAGGAGGCATTGATTATGTGTTCAACACTATGAATATATTATTAGTAGAAAAGTTATTTTAAAAAACAAATACTACTGTAATACATCTAAGATCTTCACTTCCCCAAAACAGGAAGGTGATGACATTTACAATCATGATCACATTTAGAATATGTCATTTTCTGAACTACATGAAAGTACCCAATGTGGTAAAACACACGTGTGATGCTTCTGTTTGAAAGTATTCTATTCCGAATGTAATGCTAATGATGGTAGGAAGGGAATATCATTTAGAATAGGATGTTAAGGGATACTGAGAACAATGACACCACTTGAATCATTATTATGAAAATGATCTCTTGTTAAGACTGTTAACTCATGAGGAGAGGGGTAGAATCCTTACTTTCACCTGCATCCCCTACCCCCCTTCGCGTTATAATGAGCAGGGCAGAAAGGTAATCAAACATTTACTAAATAGACAGACAAGAACCTCTATTCAATTAACATTCAAGAGGTACTGTCTTACCCTGTTAAACTCTAAATTTTGTTTAAATGACATTCGGTAAAAGCAGAAAGACATGAATGGCTATGGTGTATAATATCAAAGATAGCTTATTAATTATCATAAATTAATAGAATAAGCATACTTCAAAGATATTGAGTGTAAAAAAAAAAAAGAAAGAAAGAAATACTATCATACTATCTTTGGTAAAAACTCCGATTCTAAAATTAACCACTGTGCTAAAAAATAAAAGATGTAATAATCTTACAGCTTTAAAGGAGAAAATACTATGTTAGGTACAGAATTTAAACCAATCAAAATTAATTCTACAATAATGTAGGCATTAATAACAATACAACATGGCTGGAATGCTTTAGAAGAACCTATGATGAAAAGAACTATAAAAGGAAATAACTGAGTGGGATAGAAAGGATTGTTGGGAAACATGATTACAGAAAACTTGTAAGACCGTTTTCAGCCTATAACTGACTGGCATACCTAAAAGACATTCTAGAACTTGCCCAGTGAAATAGGTCTCTTGCAAAGACTTTGCAGAGTATAGGACCTTTGGTGGAATCCTGAATCCCATCCAGAACCTTCTGAGGTGGGACATTCCCACTAGCAAGGACAAACAGACCAGCCTGGAACAGCTAGAGCAACAGAAAATACATCTTCAAAGAAAGACCATCAGGAAAAACCCAATACAAAAATGTCAGCATGACTGGCTACCACAAAAATAAAAGCAAGCTGTTTGCCAGGAAGCCATCAATGCATGCAATCAACATCCTTCAGGACAATCTCTCCTCTAAGACTGAAACTCAAAGGGAACACACGAACAGGCATGTAAGCTTACTGGCAACCACACTGGTCTACTGGTGAATGCAAGAGGGGAAAAGGCAGCAATGAAAAAATGGGCTAAGTTCATCCACGGTCCACTGACTCCCAATGACCTGGAGATGACAGAGAGAAGAGGAAGGGCTGCTTGGTCCAAAGTGTGGTGAAACCTGGGGACACCCATGGACAAGGGCATAGCCACAGAGGGCTAGAGCTGAGAGTGAAGCAGCCAGCTGATATGAAGTGAAGGGAGATGCACAAGAACACCCAAACTTGCAGTTAGTACCTATTTGACATAGCCTTGATGGCTTGATAATCAGAACTCGACTACGGGAAGATAAAAAACAAACAATTTTTGATAAAGGAAACAAGGTAAATTGCTACAATTTGATGAACTCATGGAGGTAGTAACTCTAATATCAACAGAGAGGGAAGGAGTCTTCACCATCAAGTATCTATGCTATCCCCTCTGTACACAGGGTAGATAGGGAAGGGCAACTTTGACATTGGCTACCTAAGACAAGGGGGCGATAAAGGCACAAAGTGACTGGCTTACAAAGTTTCAAGAGGGAGTTTAGTTTAAGAGTTGGGGGGAGAGGAGAAAGGGTCATCACTGAATAGTTTTCAACTTGTCTGGATGTTCCTGTTATTATGTGCTGTGGAGTCAGTCCCGACTCATTGCAAGCCTGAACAGGGTTTCCGAGGCTATAAATCTTTACGGGAGCAGAAAGCTCATCTTTCTCCCGCGGAACAGCTGGTAGTTTCGAACCACTGACCTTGCAGTTCGGAGCCCACTACGCTACCAGAGCTCCTGTCTGGATAGGTCTGGTGAAAAGAGATGGGGATAAAACTCGTATGATTCAGTAATGAATAACTGTTATCATGACTAACTGTAACTGTCACAATTGTAAAGGTAGAAGTTTTGTAACAAAAACAGGTGAGTGGTTAATCTTAGTCCAGAAACAGAGGACTCTAGGACCATCACGGGAGAAGAGAACAAGTGGAATGCAGGACCTTATCCTGAGAAGCAGCGACGCCAGAGACAGAGATGGGGGGTCATGGAGAGGGGGAGCGGCTGAGGACTCTAGATTCCTGGAAAGAGAGAGACTGAGTGCTGGTGGCCAAGAGGCAGTCTTGCAGAATGTGCCCTTTGGAGGTGTAAATTACTATATATGTCTGAGTGGTGGTGGTTTGTTTTTTTTTTTTAAAAAAAAGCTAAAGTGAACAGAGAGAAATACTGTTAACTGATGATACATGGATGGGATTATAATCATTGTAATGAAACAAGATGGTATGATATGTTGAATGCAAAACTGATGATCTGCTCTTTAAATTTTCATTCAATCCACAATAAAAACCTTAAAAAGAAAAAATGAGCATATGCAAAAAAAAAAAAGAAGAATTTACTGAATTCTATTTCTAATAACACTGTTCTCTTCCCAGTCTAGTTAACTCCATGCCTCTCTCCAGCCCAGTTAATCACAAGCTAGCCTACTGCTATGTGGCCAGAATAAGGAATGGGAGGAGAGAGGAAAGGAAATTCCAGTATCTTGCATATTAGCAGCAAATAGCTTTAAGCAAATAAATGAAACATTACTATTATGGAAAATAGTGGAAAAAAGGTAATAAAACATACAATCATCTTTATGAGAGAAACTATAACTTTAGTCTGAAAATTACATAAAAAAATGTTTAAATGATCGTAGTTTTACAACCCTCACCAATTCATCCAGATATATAGTAATTTCTAATTATTATAAGACAATCTCAGAATGTTACAGCAACTGCTTCTAATTTTACCTCTTCTCTCAAGAAAAAATACAAGTATGAAATACAAATTATAATGCATTTTAAATACTTAATATAAAGTAACAAAATACTCACAGCCCACTGTCCTAGCAAATTTACTAGGAAGTTGCCACTGAATCGCACTGACAGCATCTGGGAGATGACATACAGGTTTGACACTAAGGCAGACTGAAGGATTATGGGAATGTTGGAGGTGTAAAAGAGTTTGATGGGATAACTACTGTATTGTCCTCGGTACCGGGCTGACTTAATGGGCAAATCAACTCGAAATCCCTAAAAAGCAAAGATTAAGTATAAGAGAAACTGTATATACCAATTAAAGAATGCAAACTAGATAGACAAAACAAGTAACGTTAGGGTATATGAAAGGACAATGCTCACACAAAAATTTCCCCTTTGTGCAAATACACTTTAAAATTGCTTTTCTGTTTCAAAATTACTATTGTAGCACTGTACCATCAGCAGTGGACTGTGAACCACAAGGTTGGCAGTTCAAACCCATCAGCTGTTCCTCAGAAACTCTATACAGGGTCACTATGAGTCAGAACCAACTCAATGGCACTTAGCAACAACAATTTTACACCTTTAAAATTAGAGTCTTAAAGAATGGAATTATTTGCATGACTAAACTTTGAAACACTGGCTTTTCAGACACTAATATTTCCTGGCATTCTCATCAGCAAAATTAAAACCCAGATCCCACAGACTTCAGTGAAGAAATTAGGCTTACCTGAAAATATATAACAACAGCAAACACAAAAACTGTAGCAATGAGGTTCATCAGATTGGGTAAATTCTGACGGTAGAAAGCCTCCCTTAAAGCTCGAACTTTGTCTGTTCTGGTGGCCAGCAAATGGAACAGAGCTATGACTGCACCCTCAAACTCGGTACCTGACAACCAAGAGAGAAATGAGCTTCAGGGTCCTTACCTAAAGCTGTCCCACAGGTCAAAACAAATCACCTTGAAAATCCAGGGGTACAGTAGAAAGTATGAGTCAACATGATTCAACAATGTTTGTTTTATGAAACAGCCATGTGTGGAGGTTCTAAAAAACATTCATCATACAGACAAATGTGGTTTTTAGCATAAAATCTGAAGTTTTCTCATGGGCCTATTCTTAATGAAACTAGCCAAAGTGGAATATACCAAAGCAAATATTTAGGTCATAAAGATTTGCCTCTCCTTCACTTTAAGGAAAGAAAAAAAAGAGTAGTTTCAAGGGAAAAGAAAAAAAAAAGGCAGCAGCAGCAAAGCAGAATAAAGATGTCAAAATCCAAAGATACATGTTTCTCTAGCAAGTTCGTTTTTATTTTACCAAGAACATTAATAAGCCATCCTTGGTATTTTCTTAAGGCTGGAATTAACGTTTACATGTTAGCCAAAAAGAATCTAGGATGGCATTGAAGAGAAGTGGTGACAAGCAAGAGGAAAGACCAAGTAAAATACTTCAAACTCTAGGTGCTATTACAATGACAAGTAGAATAGCAGCAAAATGTAAGCCTTCCCTGATAACACAATTATTAAGGTTTTTTTCACTTTAAAAAAATCTAAATCCACCAGCTTATTTATCCACAGAAAGCTGAAACTGATCAAATGACTAATGTTGCAATGGCTTAGCAAGGCTAACAAAATTTAAAAGACCTCTTTGCAAACCATTAAACTTTTAAATGAGCTAAGGCTAAAATTGAGGTGCTTTGGGGTTCTTTGAAGTATTGTCTCATACTCCACAAATCTCTGCTTGTTAACCTTTGAGCACTTAGCGTTAGTTGTGTCCTGGGATAGCGTATGAGCATATCTAGAGGCATGAACTGCTACATTTTGTATTGGTTTTCAGCACACATCCAGCAAAACTCGTGCAGTTGCAGTCACTGTGCAATGTACCTCTGCCAGTGTTAATGGTAGTGGGACTAAAGGCCTTCCAGACAATGGTTTCACAGATGTTGGTGGCAATAAAGAGGGAAATACCAGACCCCAAGCCGTAACCCTTCTGTAGCAGCTCATCTAACAGCAGCACAATCAAACCAGCAACAAACAACTGTGGGGAAAAAAAGGCAAGTAAGCTGAAGCAAGAGTAAACGCAAGAAAAGGGGAAGGTGGACGCCACAGACTATTTTCAGAGTTTGGGCACTTTTAATACTAAAATGCAACTGATGCAGTATCAAGAGCCCTGGTGGCACAGTGGCTAAAGTGCTCCACTGCTAATCAAAAGGTTCAAACCCACCAGTCCCTCTGCTGGAGAAAGACGAGGCTGTCTTATCCTGCAAAAATTTAGTCTTAGAAACCCTATGGGGCAGCGTTACTCTGGCCTATAGGGCGGCTGTGGTCAGAATACACTCAACAGCAGTGGGTTTGGTTTTTGGGTTGCAACATCACTATTATAACCACCTGTATTTTTTAACATCTTTCATTTTACACAGAAGCCAATTCTGAAATTCAGGGGACTGGAAACACTGTTACATTATAAAGCAAGTATTTCAACTTTTAAAAGTATATCTAAATACCATTTGGGACTACTTAAAAAACACCCTAACACAAAAATATTCATAATTGTAGAATTTATGATAGCAAGAATCGGAAAACATTCAAAATACCTCCCAGTAAGCAAAAGGCTAAATGAACTATGGTATAATAACAATATGCAATTGTGTATTACCATTAAAAAAGAAAGCATGTGGATTATACTGATAATTTTTTTTAAAGTATAACATATGTAGACTAAGTCAAAAGGAACATATATTAACAGGCACATATTATATAACAATATAAAAATGCGTTCTATACATAGCGTGACAAAGACTGAAAGTATACTTGAAGACAGAGTTAAGAGTTCACCATATTCTTAAACTCATAATTAAAAAACAAAAAAGAAAAGCATACTAACTTTAATTTATGTGACATTGACAATTCTTAATTTTCTTCTTGGAGAAGACATTTCTGTAAAAGCATGCATCAATTAAAAACCATCCATAGCCTTGCAAGTGACCTTCTCAGTCATATGACTCCTTCCCCGCACTTCAGTAACCTAATCAAAAGGGGAAGAAAATATTCTTCTATGCCCCCAACCTCCCATTTATACCCACTTTAAAGACCCCCTTCCCTACAGAGACTGGGAAATGCCACTTTCATTCCTCTCAATAATCAATTCTCCCGCCCTCATTCTTTACTCACTTTACCCAATTATCACCTGTTAGAAGACACTAGCTGCATGATGCCATTCTAAGCATGCTTACCTTCCACAGTGGTTTTTTTGTTTTTTTTTTTTCTCTCCTTCTCTGTCATTTCAATGGTTGTACAGAGCCTAACTTGTCTATTTAGTCTTTTTGCTTGACTTTCAATGGGCTGTAAAAGGGTACAATTCTCAATGAAGAGAGTCCACGCCAACCCCCTTACTGCTTGAAACTCAAGCTTGACATTTTGACAAGAGAACAGAGAAATCAGAACTTAGGGACTCTATTCTGACCACAGTTAACGTAGGGAGTGGAATCCTGGTGTGGCACTGTAAGATAAGCACTGGGCTGGTAACTGCAAGGTCGGTGTCTCAAAGCTACCAGGTGCTCCTCGGAAACTCTATACAGGGTCATTTTAACTAGGATCTGACTCAACAGCACTTAACAAAACTTAATGTAAGGAGTAAATACTGCACTTCTGGGATGGGCTGTAGGATAAGCACTGAAATGCGAACCATAAAGTTGGCAGTTCAGCCCTGCCAGCTGCTCCTCAGATACCCTATACAGGGGCGATATGAGTTGGAACCAACTCAACGACACTTAACAACAACAACAAATAAATACATCCAACTGCAAAGTCAGAAAGGCATCCCAGTGCGGGGAATAGCTGTCTGGGAATGATCAGCCAACCAAAAAGTATTACCACGGACTTCTGATTAAATGACTTACTTATCCAAAGTCACATGGGCAGGTCTGACACATCAACTATGGTTCTCCAGACCCTTTGGTCAGAATATATCTATCAGATTATTGAGTGACTCATATATATTCTGCAAAAATTAAAGGCTTATGCTCTCCTGATAGAAGGAAGGACTTAGAGAAACCTAAAAGAGAAATGGTTTCAGTAATTAACAGAATAAGGTAAAGGACAATAAAAAGGATGCATGCCTAAGAAAAAGGAAGAGAAACAGGCAGTTACAGCATCTCATCGATTACAGCACTGATAATGTACAACATGTATGAATCTCTAAAACAGATATAAAAACATTTTACATTTCAATCCTGCTTTGCACATGTGAGTATACAGCGCACACACTAGCATTTCAGTGTGACAATACTCGACTTGACTATGTAGCATGCATGCTGCTATGTTCTAAGTTTTTTATGTTAATCAAGACCAACTATTTATATTTCAAAGTTCAATAGTTGGAAACCATTGAAACACTAACCATGTAAATACAGTAACAATTACAGGGAAGGATATAATAACATGCAGAGTCTTGAAAACCTGTCTATGTGAAACGCATTAATCCAATCATATATTCATTGTAGCCACAAATTTTCAACCTTAAAAATGCTTTAAAAAGACACAATGAGCTCATTACCAACAATGACCAACCAATATATATATATATTTCTTTATCCATTAACACTAAAATAGTTAACCACAACTCAAATATTTGCATAACAGAATTTATGCAAACAATTTGGCACATATCCAATTTGTTTCATTCTTGGAATATAAATAATCCTGGACATTTCAGTAACTGATAAAAATGTAAATAGCTTAACTCTATTTTATAGCCATTTAAATCTGTGAAATAAGTCAATACTTCAGCCCAGACTTGTTCAGCTACAGTTCTTTATATCCGCAGTAAAATACTAGGAAAATGTCATTGATTCATGTTGTTTTAAGAGCTAGATTCCAATTCTGAAAGTCTGAAAAAGCAGGTTATTCTAAAATATACAAAAGTATACGCTATAAAGAAACAAAACACAAGCAAAAATTTGTATATTAGCATCCTCAACAATGTCAAAGCATATGAAAAAGCCCTAAGACCTAAAAAATGTTAAAATCAGTTGTGACAGAATCTTTAGTACTGGTCCATTGCTCATCTTTTTTCCCTAATTTCCAAGGACTATAAATAAGCCCATCAAGTGTCTTGTTAAATGGAGAAATAAAGACAATGCCATTCTTTTAGGAAATGTGAGTCTGTTGCCATCAAGTCGATTCTGACTCAGAGTGATCCTACAGGACACAGAACTGCCCCCATAAAGTTCCAGAGGCTGTAATCTCTACAGAAGCAGACTGCCACATCTTTCTCCCGCAAATCACTGTGAGTTCAAACAGCGGACCTTCAGTTAGCATTCAAGCATTTACCCACTACACCACTAGAGCTCCTTAAAGAAATGTACTTACACCAAATGAGAATACATCACGGTTCAGAAAACCACCAAAACCACCCTAATAATCCATTAAAAATTTCTATCCTGGTCAAAAGATAAAGTATTCTTATCTCATTAGAAAAGCAACCTCTACTGCAAAGTGGATCTGAACTGCAAGGTCAGAGGTTCAAGCTCACCAGTTGCTGCTCCTTGGAAGCCCTATACAGGGTCACTATGAGTCAGAACCTACTCGACAAAACTTAGAAACAAAGATCCTGCAAACTGATGCCAATGAATACCTGATCTAGCACCCCTGGTTCTGAATCATCCTCCTTATTATGATTTGCTCTGGATATGTTTTCTTATAAAGAATGTCCAATCAGGTCATTCTGAAAGTCCTATTTCTCAATATGTATGTTAAAAAACTGGTATTTTACTTTTATTTAGAACTCTTCTTCTGACCTTGATCCTCTGTTACCAAAAAAAATCCTAAAATTAATCCTATTTCACAAAATGAGCAAGAAACAAATTTCCAAAATAACCAGGCCTCTATACCCTCAGGGTTTCACTGAAATCTCTTTCAAAATCCAATAAATATCTTCTGCCTATCACTGATTGGAATACCTAAAATGGGGCTACAGTGTACCCAGTGAACGAGGCTTCTTGCGGAGCCTCTGTAATACATAAAACTGTCGGTAGAAACTGGAACCACATCCAGATCTCCAGAGATGAGAAATCTCCACTGGAAAGGATGAGCAGATCAACTTGGAACAGCTAGAAAAATAAAAAATACCTCTTGAAAGAAAGACCTGCAGGAAAAATGGAGGCAGATGGACTGTTACTACAAGAACAAACAAAATGCTACCCTAGGAAACATCAAGGCAAGTGGCCAGGTCTCTCAATGCAAACCCCCTTCCAAGACTAAGACTAAACAGAAATGCACGCTCTGCCTGGTGACCACACACATCACTGATGGGGGGAAGGGGGTAAAAGCAGCAATGAAGCGGCAAGCTAAGCCCTACAATGTTCAGTGGACTTCTGTGGACCCAGT